TCTATCTATCTATCTATCTATCTATCTATCTATCTATCTATCTATCTGAACATTTGCATAAACTTGAATCATTTACAAAGTTATTTATTTGAAAAAACAGATAGTAAGCAAACTGGAGATTCATACGCCTGAGTTCCTGTCACATTAGCAAGTAAACTAAAGTTTGAGCCAATCAGATCAAATAAAAACACTGGCTCAATCTATGAAAAGGCATTAATCAGGTAGATGGAGAACTGGGCTTTCACAGCTGCTTTTAAGATGCTCTCCCATGAAGCCTACTGAAAATATAAAGAAAAGACAAGAAGTTAATCCTAGGAAATGAATTGAATTACGCAGGGATTTGAATGTTAGTATTGCTGTCGATGGGGGCGGCGATGGGTGTGGTGGTTAGCACTGTCGCCTTCCAGCAAGAAGGTTCTGGGTTCGAGTCCTGGGGGAACCAGGACCTTTTGTGTGCAGTTTGCATGTTCTCCCTCTGTCTGTTAGGGTTTTCCGGGTTCTCCGGCTTCCTCCCACAGTCCAAAAACCTGCATGTTAGGTTGGTTGGACACTCCAAATTGCCCTTAGGAGTGAATGTGAGTGTGTGTGGTTGTTGGTCCTTGTCTGTCTTGTGTGTGACCGCGATGGACTGACGGACTGTCCAGGTTGTATCCACTTCTCGCCAATTGACAACTGGGATAGGTTCCAGTCCCTCCACGACCCCATTAGGGAATGGGCGATAATGATAATGGATGGATGGATGGATATTGCTGTCGATGTTTCCCCAATGTTTTGCCTCCCCCCAGTGGCTTACTGAAGAAGCACCTTTCTATACACTTGACCGCAGCATGGTTTAACAAACTGTTTAGGGTACATAACCCCTGCCAAAAATGATGTGGTGACTACTCTTAGAGAATGTTGGTTTAAAGATACAATCCAATTAAAGCAAATCAGAATGGGTTATCGTAATGTCATTATCTAATCAATTTGAATTAACCGAATCCCAAAGTAGTCAATTCATTGAGAGTCAATTAAAGACATAATTTAGGTACCTTAGAATGCTAACATATTGCACACAAACTTCACTTTGAACATCAAAGTGAAGTACAAGAATATACTCAGGAAAAAAGTCGCCATCTGCCTTGGCTTAAAGACTCAGGAAACAATCGGAAAGATGTGTAGCTCCATGTATTTCCAGGGAGAGGGGTCTTCCTGCTGCTGGAAACTCTGGGAACCACAAGTAGACCTGCATAAAATGTGTGGCTTTCTTTTTTTTTTATATATATATTTATTAAGTTTTCAGAATATAACATACAAAAGTCAAGAGTATAAGTAAATATATATGCACATATACACGCAGACTTACATATCCATGTATATATGGTGTGTAACAAAATCCTGTATGAAAGCAGTATACTCTTATCAATCCAGTAACAAAAATAAAGACGTACAATAAGAGAAAAAATAAAAAACAAAAGCAACAAAACAAAAACAACAAGACAAAAACAAATATTATAACAACAAGTCAGGTTACACTGCATTGAGTACTATTTACAATTAAGGAATGGTGTTACCTGTCTATAAGGGCATAGGTGGCACGTTAAGAAGCTGAGCGAGTGTCTGTGTCGGACCTGGATCGGGAAAGATAATCCAAAACTGGCTGCCAGATACTGCAAAACCTATCAGTGGAACCCACAACATCATATCGTAGCCTCTCCAGATGAAGAATCTCAGTGAAATCGCTCAACCACATTTTAAATTGAGGAACCTTGTCAGTTTTCCAGAGTCTCAATATGACTTTTTTGGCTATTACATGTGTGGCTTTCTAAAAAAAAAAATTGAAATTGAACAAATAGAAGGATTCATAAATAATGAATACGAGATAGATTAAAAAGAGTAGGAAAATGTTACGAGGAGTGAAGTATGAAAACACTTTGGGAAAACCACACAATCTGCTCCATGGGCCCTGGTCCTGCTTCTGTATGGTTCACTGAAGGGTTTTCAGCACAAGTGGTTGTTGGTTGTAGAGCATCGTGAGATAGTCGCCTTCAAATTGCTCATGTGAAGATGCTGTAGGAAACATTATGCTGACCCAGACTTGGTCAAACAAAGGAAGATTTTGTTTTGAGCCAGGTCCGTATCAGAGCTACAGTATGATGCATCGAATCTGTAGAGGTCACAAAGCCGTATGTCTGAGAAATCTCTGACTATCTCGAGACAGTAGCTTGTCCTCTCATATTTGGTCTGTACATCTTGCTAACTGGTATTTCTTGTTGTTTCAATACAGGTTTATAGCTGGAATACAGTTTAACCATATCTCTCAGGCCTCCCCTTTTCAGTCTAACTTAATGTGTTTTTCTCAAATGTTTATGCTTTAAACAGAACAGTCTGTCCATCTGTGTAAGTAGCAGACACTACATGGGTTTTATAATCTTGTTCAATAGATATTCTTTGTATTCATGCCCTTTTTCATTTTCTCTTTCTTTGTCCTTACTTTTAATTTCCGTCTTTCCCGCTGTCATGTTTACCATCAAAATGTACAGGATATCTCAACAGCAATAAATAAATCAATGATAATTTTGCATCAAGGAAAGCTTTACAGGTATAAAACATCCCCTATGAAAGCAAAACTAATGGCTTCAGTAGCCAGAGCACAATTCTTCTGGACTCAGTTACAGTCAAGGTAAAATAAGAATTAAACAAAAAACATAGATACCATAGATAAAAAAAAAGAAGAAGAATTTAGCGCAAAGTTCAGTGCAATGAGAAATTGGTAAGGATTTTCAAGAAACGAATTCAGATAACAATGATGTGGTAGGAGTGAATGTGAGTGTGTGTGGTAGTTTGTATCTGTGTGTTCCTGTGATGGACTGACAACTGGTCCAGGGTAAACCCTGCCTCTCACCCCTTGTCAGCTGGAATAGGTTCTTCTGTACCCTCTTGACCATTCCAACTCCACTTCTTCAGGAATCAAATCAGTGATTTATATTTCAACAGGGTTCATGCAATAACAGAATTAATAATGTGACCCTTTAAGGTACAGTCGAAGATGCAAATCCGTAATTCTTTTCTTTTCTTTTCTCATTTTCATAGAACCCTTTTTCTTTTTCTTGTACCTAATTAATCTAGAAAAATTTAAAAGGTTCAGTGTATTAAACCTAGTAAGATATTAGTTTAAAATAGAAAAATTGTAGCAGTTAAATCAGCTAAAAGTCTGTTTTGTTTTCATTTTGTTTGACGAAACTGACCTGAACACGATGCAGTTATGCAATTTGTCCATCAGAGGGGGACAGAAGTCAGATATTGTATTTTTGCAGCAGCCCCATGCTGGCAGCAACGATCAGGGGTTTTGACAACATCATTAGCACAGACTGCTTAAGCATGTCCGCAATGTGCTAAAGCGAGAGTGTATTTGGGAAATGATATGAAGGGTGGCTGCTTGCCTCAATGACTTTCTCATTAGATTCAATTAAATTTTCCAACTTCTTTTGGCAGATCTGCTGAAATATGGAAGTTTATCAGCGGACTATAAAGAGGCCCAGTGTCAGAAGACATAAACATCAGAAAATTCACAAAAATGTGCCAGTCATCCCAGAATGCCTTACTTTACTATGCAGAAATGAGCATTGCTATCTTAAAAACACAAAGCAAGTTTTTATACATATTTCAATATTATTTTTAATGGTTTCAGCAGTCCAGAAAAAAGTGATTTTGCACCATAATACATCATATTGCTACATGAAAATAAACAAAATTAGAATCCGTTATGATGTAAAGCATGGATACATATTAAGGTAATTCGTTTGTCAAGTTGACAACAAATCTGTGGATTCTTAGTACGGATCAGCAGATTTATCTACTGTAGTTGAATGCACACATGCTCTGTTTGGCTGTGCTGGAGTTGATTCGTCCGTCCCTTTGTGGACTGCTTTAGATATTACCGAACATTTGCGATACTGTCAATCCGGAGTTCAAATATCACCAAAAAACAGAAACAAATTCCTTCAAGAGCCATGCGATAAACATGAAATATAAATCAGAAAGGGAAACAATGCATACAAATGCCAGTATCTGACAGTCTAGCCTACCATTTATCAGGGGACATTTCCTGTAATGTACTTTCTTTTGCAAATTTAACATGGACCCACCACCAGGAGAATAATGGGACAAGGTGCGCAAACTGAAAGCCTTAAGACTGTGTGACAGCTATGATAAATGCAGCAAGCGCTGAAACGGCTGTTGAAAAAACAAAAGATACCTTTTTTCATGTCACAATAATCCTATCCCGT